ATGCATGGATTTGTTATTCCTGAACTGCATGTATATCCAGTAAGTTCAGGATGCATCTGACCTGTCTAAATAAAAATTGATTCATGCATATATAGTGAAATGTATCTGAGATGTATCAAAAGTTCTGTAAACTCACAGATCAGCCACAAAAAATGAATGTGGCATGATAAGTCTAAATCTAATAGAAGTGGGCCTGCCAGTAGCCTTGTTCCGAGCCTTTAAGAACTGCAACATTGAATCTGGTGGTGTCTCCCCTATAAATACAGTTGAAAAAGGCATATATTTTTCACAGAAAGAATGACTAATTCTGGTTATTTTACTAGAGAGATCACTTGCAGTGTTTAATGGTTGAAATCCTTTCTGTATAAAATATATTTTAGCTAAACAAAGATTTGTGCTCTGTGACTAGTGGGGCAAGAGTAGGTAGTTACAGTGATTCTGTGATTGCTGGGATTTTGGCATTTTTTAATCACCAAAATTAAGTTTAAAATTCAAAGTTACATAAAAGGAAAATCAAAAGTTGCCCACTTCACCCACTGGAAATTTAAAAATATAATTAAAATTACTCAGGGTATGACCACATTAGCAATCAGACCTAACTGTTTATAGCAGTCTATTTTTATTTTATGTTTTAGTGTGAATTGCTCAGTTGTTTTCATTTGCATGGTGTTGGCTTGGTTCTCTACATGCTTTTGGTGTGTGCAAACTAAATTCCTTTCAGTAATAATTAAACTGGAAGCTTACTCTTAAATCTAATGTCTTGACCTCATGTGTGAACCACATCATCATGTGGTTAACCAAGGGTTGTCTAATAGATGCACACCATCAGAAGGCTCTGGAAACTTCGAGAACTCTTGTAACTTCCTGGCGTGATTAATTTGCTATATAAAGAACCAAATGCATATGTGCCCTCGTATTTGTCCTCAGCTGCCAATCTTGTACTGTGAAATTGCGATCGGTCCGTTCGCTGACACTTCGTCCTCTATTTACTTTCATTGGTTTGAAGTCCTTTCTCTACTTTACCTGCCCTAGCTTTTATTGCAGCCCCTCTTGATGAACCTCCCTTTTTTCTTGTTTTCCTTCCTTTTAAAATTCTTCAAATATTGTCAGTATTCTGATTCCTTCCAGCAATCCAGCAGAAAGTTCATAAAGGGTGCAGTAAGGTGCTGGGGAAGTGGCTCTGTTCTTGAACATGTGCTGGAAGAAGGGCAATATTTCTTCAGAACAGTGTTAAATGGTAGCAACCCCAGGACATTGAAAGCATCTCATCTGCTGGCACGTATAAGAGTGATAAATGCCAGATAAAGTTTAAAAAAAGAAAAAAAAAAATGCTTTTCTAAAGGCAAGAAGACACAAATCATAGTAAATCAGAACAGCACGGCATATATGTCTTTCATGAAGAGCTACAAGAAATCTTTATTTGGGAACTCCACAATAAACCTTCGGTTGTTCGAAATGTTGTTCCTTTTTTTCTGGATTGATGACCAGGAACATCTGGAGAAGCTGGGTTCCCTTCAGAGTTGTTCCAGGGTCCTCATTGTTGGCTCCCCCAAATGAGCCATGTGAGGACACAACCCAGGATTCCCCTTTCCCCTGCTCCTCACTGTTACAAGTATCCATGCATCCCATTCTGGCACACCCTACCAGCACTTCTGATCTAGCCCAGGTTAGCATACTGCTTTTCCGTATTTGTCTCTAAGCTGAGGATGGTGAAAGGGAGAGGATGCATGTGGTTCCAATGCAATAATGACATTGATCTCCAAACTGCTGGATGGCAAAGTATATTACCAGTCTGACTGTAAGAACAGCTGTACCTTTTAAAGGTTCTCCTGGGGCTGTGAGCTGTGGGAGAAAACTTCCAAATAGCAACTGCCTACATCAGGAACTGCCCACCAGTTCCCTGCCTTTTCTGTGGTCTTACTCATAGCCCAAGTTTGTTACTTGTGCCATGTGAGATAACGTAGCCCAGGCTTTCAAAATAAGCACGCTGCATGGCCCAGTCCCCTCCCTGAATGCAGCAGCTTAGAGGGAGAAGACGTGGTGATGGCTGCATTCAACCCATGGATTCCATTGCTGTCCCACAACCACTTATATAGAGGGCTTCCCACATGCCCATAATGACTATAGGACAAGATTTTCTATCTCTTTTGAATACAAGGTACTAAGGTAGCAACAGCTGTCTGCACAGAGATTTCCCTACCTGTTCCCACACACACACCAGGATGCATGAAAAATTGCACCACTCTCACTCTTGGCACTGCATGTGATCAGTGGTAGCATATGCTCTGTTGTTCAGACCATAAACTTGTTCTGCATGTTCAGAACATTGGAGGTAATTTCTTGAACGATGAAGGATCATAGATGAGAATCCCCTGGGACAGGAAGTGTGTCCCATGAGATGTTGATGATCATGAGGCAGGAAAGGTTCAGTGACAATCTGAATTGTTTTCTTTGGTCTTGAAGAATGGGCACACAGAGACCCTGTTCTCTGGCAATCTGCTGCATACTGAAAAGTTATGATTAAACTGACCAAGTGACAGGTGGCCTTGGATGTTTTAGTTATGCCTTTGCTCACTGTGAACTTGACCATCTCAGACTGGTTAGCCACAGGTGGGACCTGAGTGGAGGGACTCTGCAGAGTGATGGCCACTTTCCAAGTGAAAGGTACTCCCACAATGTTGTGAGATTATCATGGAGGCAAGACAGTGGCTCCCTGCTACAAGTAGCCTCACATCTCAAGATTTCTGTGAAGAGTGGACAAAGCAGTTACATCAGCGAGAACTCCCCAAAAGCCATTCTGCCTCTGCAGAGAAATTGAGGTTTAGGAGGATGAGTACTCACTTGTTCAAACTGTTCTTCTGCTGGTGCAGCTGCAGAGTTTAGTCACTCTCCGTCTGTGGTGCCTCATAGTACACACTGTCCATACTCCGCAGAGGAAGTGGTAGGTACCATGAAGGTCAGTTGGTAATGGTGCAAATATGTTTAGATGTGAAGTTTTTTATGGTGATGGAGGCACTGGTGTATTACTGTCATCTCAGTATGAAAAGACATTGTGGTGCTTCCTAGTGGAGCGTACAGTTTATGAGAGGCAAAGGTTTCTGGACTAGAAAGTTTTGGACCTCATGAGTAATGGAGATATTCAGCATTGAATCAGATAATCCTGAGTAAATATACCTGACCTAAATATATTGGAGATGTGTAGAACTTTTCAGTGTCTATCACTTCAAGCTATTAACTACTTCTCTTGCACCTAATTGATTACTAAGTGGATAATAGCCACAAACAATCTTTACGTTGCCTCCATTCCAGACACTTTAAGAACAGGATCAAGACCTACCTGAAACCTCAGTAGTGAAGCTATTACCTATGAAAGCTACTCAGTAGTAGTTGATATTGGTGCTGAAGTACCAAGGTTTGGCGCCAACTTTGCTAGTTATCACATCTGCTGAAAAAGTGAAAATTAAGAATATCAAATTCAGCATGAACATTCAGAATGTGATCAAGGCCAGCTAATCTTAGTGAAGCTATGTCATTTTCCCAGTAAATCCTAGCAGCAAGCAATGTTAGCACAAGGATTGCTTGTGACGAAGTGATGGTAGGAGGAGTTGGTTTTAATCAATTAAGTACAGGTGTCTTCTCTCTTTTGTTCCCTGGTGTATGGCCTGTCTTTATGTTACATTCTGTAACATCTGGATCTTCCATTTTTCATAAATTCCACTTTCACAAGTTTCGTTTTTCTACTTTGGAAAGCAGATTAGATTTAAGACTACGTAGAGCTAATCCATGGTAGTATTGAGACTGTAATGGTGAGAATGTTACATGACGGCACACTTAACAGTGGAAGTGTGTCAACCACATGTGTTCTAGACAAAGTTCAAGTCCCGAACGTCCACAGTAAACTCCTAGGTATAATATTTTAACTTCAAGCAAGTGAACCAAAAGCACCTTGAATCCGCTTGCTGAGATAAAAGGCTTCCAACAGTTACTACAATAAGAGAATTTCCAGAAATTAACCTTTACCTATGTATAAAGTTACGTCTGCTGTGCTTCTTCAGTCATACTAGAAAAACAGTTTCTGATTCTTTGAGTGACTATCATTGGGTAGATGTCACCTATTAATGACACACTCCCTTTATTTTTTTTTTTTTTAAATTGAGCTTTAGACCTGTTGTTATCTTTGTGTTGTTTTTTTTTTCCATCTGCTTAACCCAGCATCTCATAGCATAAGCTTCTCCCTATACACAAATCAAGGTTTCAAGATTTACATAAGAAGTTTTATAATCGAAAAATGGAACTGGGTGATATTATTTGCTCTGCTTAGGACTGTTTTTAGGAAACAACAGTGATTCTGTCCCTGGTAATTCACTTTGCACAAGATATCACAGGGATGGTAATTAGCGGAGAGTTTCTAGTTCTTGACCTCTTACTGAATGAGCTCACTGGAGAACGATTTCCCCTGAGGGTGGGAATAACTAGATAGAAAAATAGATTAACCTGGCATTGTTAAGGCAGCATGATACTGAATCAATAGTTAGCCTAAGCTGTACTGTAGAAATGCCTAGAGCAGGACAAAATCTGGCAATTAATAGCAGCTATTGGCATCGATACCAACAATTCAACAATGATACTAAGTAAGAGAGGGGAGAAAATCAACGATAAAGGAGACTACAATTGCAGAGGAATTATTTTCTGTCATTTTAAGAGAGCATTATTTGCGAAACTATTAAGAATTTAAAATATTCTGTTACCCTCCATCCCCTTCCAGTCATTCTTCTCTCAGTTTAGGAAGCACGTTTGAAGTCTTTGCTGTGTGGAATTAGTCACTGTATTTAATCCCTGTCTATCGACCATCTGATTAACATTGAAAGCTCAAAGTTGAAAGAGAGAACAAAGCAATAATCTAACAACTGTGTCCATGTGACAGAGTTAATTCCTCTTATGAAATCCTGTCAAATGTTTTTCTACTGAAGAACTTTTCCTTGATTTGTGTCTTTTTAAAGAAATGATGTGTGAAGTGATGCCAACGATAAACGAGGACACCCCGATGAGTCAACGGGGGTCCCAAAGCAGCGGCTCAGACTCGGATTCTCACTTTGAGCAGCTGATGGTGAACATGCTGGATGAAAGGGACCGTCTCCTTGATACTCTTCGGGAGACACAGGAAAGCTTGTCACTTGCACAGCAACGCCTACAGGATGTCATCTATGACAGAGACTCCCTCCAGCGACAGCTTAACTCAGCACTGCCTCAGGTATGTGGTTTATAAAGATTTTTTTTTTTTGAAGGTTCACCAATTTTCTTCTTAATGCTACTTACTTTAACCCTAATCAGTATTTATTCCTTGAGACCCAAATTCTGCTCACGTTGAGGTCGGCTGCAGAACTCCTATCGATTTAGTAGTGTCTGGTTTGACCTCTTTGGGACCTGTCTTGTCTTCAAAGTTACGAGTAGGAGTAATGCTGTTGACTGCAAGGAGAGCAAGATGAAGGCATGTAGCTACTGGTTCTTTTGGCTGTTGCTCTAGCATTTACAACAGATGAGGGATCATTTAAATGAAAGATCTAATGGTGAGAATGAAGAAAATAGAATGAGGATGTTTTCTACGGACTCTATTCCAGATAAGAGTTTTTAAATAGCATTACAACAATAAAGCTAGCTTATGTAGGTTAAATAATGAACTACACACAAAACCAAAACCAACTGGTATCTTAATATTTTTATTCATTTTTAAAATGATTGTATAAATTTCATTATATAAAATTTCTTTTGTCTTTTTTTTAGGAACTAAAGAATGCATTACTTCAGTTAAAATAATAATTTGGTATTAAATTTCAGAAGTATATATCAATATAACATTATTTTTCAATGTACTAGAATTAAAAGCAAAGAAACATGTTAGTTGAGTCTTTATATCTGGCCAGAGATTTGAAATATACCATGAGTCAAAATGCGGTTTTTCTCCAGGTTATTTTCTTTGCATCTCCCAACTGCCACTTGTAAGAGGATTTGATTTTAAGCGTGAGTGCCTGCACATACTTTCCTGAGCAAAGTTGCATACCTGTTAGACAGTGGCTAGAGAGGAAGGAAGACAGATTTAGCTTTGTGATTGGAAGAATGATGTGGTAAGGATGAATCAAATCAGTGAGCAAGTTCTTAAAGACAGAAAAGGAAAAAGGCACCCACTGGAGTTATATAAGGGCTAACCCCAGCAGGTTATTGGAATATCTTGGAATAGCACTGAAAAAGAGTGAGACGGTAATAATTTGAAGAATAGCATTAGCAACTTCAGCATTAACTCCAGGCAAGAAGAATGACTACACTTGGCTTGGGTCAAACAAAAGGGAGTAGCAATGATCTTGGTAAAATCAACGGACTTTTTTTGTTTTTCTCTGATTTGTGAGCAGTTGAGCTTTTTTTCCACTGGTGTCTCTTCATAGAAGAGTGTAAAAGAATAAGTGAAAGCATAAATCCTTTATTCAAAGATTTATTTCTAGAAATGTGAAGAAGAGAGGAGGTTCTGGAGCTGTGAACTCCCATTTGGTGTGCCACTTAGTGCAGGGGCACTCTCCATTCAGCCCATAGTGTGGTATTTCCATTGAGCACTAGCTGGTGTCTAAGCCTTAATGTTCCTATGTCTCACGTAAGCAAAACTCCTGCTAAAATGCAGGAGACTAGCTAAGGAAGATAATATTCAGCATAAATGTGATACAGAGCCTAAAAGAAACAGAAATTCTAAGGAACTGGATCATGGTATGATTTTAATCTTTATTTCTCGTAGTAAATGTTGGTGTTGTGTGGTGTTGAATGATAGCCATGCACCCTCTAAAGTAGTTGATCTGGCAGGAGAACACCACACTACCATGTACCATTAAGAGTGCATATTTCAGGTAGCATTCTTCCATATATCTAAGTGGAGATGTGGGTTTCCCATATGAGAAACTGTGTGACATACTGCTTACACTTTAAAGGAGAACCAGATTTTTTTCCTATTGATTAGGTTATCTAGATCTTCATGTAAGTAATTCTGTTCTGTAAAAATCAGTTCCTATAAGTACAGATCTCGTTGGCCTAATACTATAACATTCTACTAATACAGCCTTTGAAGAAAATAACTTCCATATGACTGCCATACTATTTAGCTTCCTTTCTGGACTTGAGATATTCTACATAGTACTTTTATCATTTTTGTTTACGGTTTGATGAATGGTAAACTTGCGTTGCTAGATGCCTGACATAGCTGTATGGTGAAGTGCTACCCGGTACTTTTATCATGGACAGGAAGAACTCTGTATTCACTCAGTTTAAGAGAAGAATACACAAATATACGATAGCTATACCATGATTATTATTTAATTACAATGTGACATCTAATGAGTCTTGCTTTATCAGCATATATTTCTTTTAGCTCTTGATTTCTTGAATGATTTTCAAAATTCAGTTATTTCTTAGCATTTACATAGTGCTTTGCATGTAAAAAGTGTATATTGACACAGTAACATTCCGAAGCATTTTTGTTGGGACACTGTTTTTTGTCTTAAACAGTTAAAAATATGATCTGGAAAAATCATGGCACTTTTCATAAATAGAATCTGAACAAAAAAAACCTGCATGAAAACTGTGGTAATGAATGAGCCTTTGAAAAATCTTGTCTGATTGGAAATAATTAACAACTTTAAATACGAAGCTTGAGATATTAGTTAATGCTGTTAAAGCTACAGCTATTAATGCTGTACCCAAAATGTGAAGTATGACTGTAGACGGCTCTAAGTTTTCATACTGATGTATACTGCAACAGAACAATGTATAGAGTTAACTGCGTCTTTCAAATTTGAGTTACAGAAATACAGTTGTATTATTAATTGCTATCATTGAAGTAATTTGTATTTCCATTAGCTGAGCGGTCTTAACTTTATGAACATCTATGTTCAACTGAACAGCTATGCTTAAAGAAGGAGGAAAAATAGTGAGCATGCAATTACACACCAGTTAGACTAAATGTAATAATAGAGAAGACTTTAAACCTTATTCTAGAGGAAAAACTAATAATAAGTCAAAGAATAAAAATATGACAAGGGTTTACCAAAATTATCTTTAAACAGAATAACTCAACAGCACTCTTTGGTACGAGAATTGTTAGACTAGGAAACTATACTATCCCTAAAATAGATATCTTTTGAAGTGGTCATGTTTAAATTACTAGTAGATGTGAAGTGAGTAAAAAAAAGTAAGATCATTAGTAAGGTAAGTAATAAAAGGAAGAGAGGGAAAATTTTCACTTAGAGCAGACATTAACAGGATGGAAGGAGGCTAGTAGAAGTTGATTAAGAATATATTCCGGGATCAATTTTTCTTAATTTGAGCACAAGAAGAAGGAGCATGCTAGTGGAAATTTTAGACAACATAAAATTGAGTTGACAGCCAACTACAGGAATGAGTATGGTGTTACACAAGAACAAGAGTAACAAATAGAATGATATTGCATGGTACAAAGATGAGGGCCCTCTATCTAGCAGTTAATAACAAAAATGTATATTCTGACCTTTTAGGTAGAATTAGTAGAGAGGGAACATATATTTTATAGAACTGTTGTGGGCAGCCAATGGGAGGTCAACATAAACAAGGCGAATATAATTCAGAAGTGTATTATGTAAGAGATATCTATTAGAAAAAGATCAGCACTAATGCAGTTAAACTAAGGGGTGGTTTGAACCTTATTATCTGGGTTTTAGCTCAGTAGTGATTGAGAGCCAACCTCAAGTTGGAAGAGATTCAGAAAAATACTGCTAGAGCAAAGAGGTAATAACATCTTTTACATGAAAAGACTAACTGAAATTTCCTTACTTCTGGGGAAAATGGAGTTGAGAGGGAATATGAGTGATTTTGTAAATTTTCTTTGAGAGGCAGGAAGATGGAGTGACTAGGTAAAGATGAAGGAAATGGTTTAAGCCAAAAATAATGTTGATGGAGGAAACAATGAATATAAGGTAACATGAATAAAGATATATCATTCATCAAAAGAATTTCGTTCCTGAATTATCAAGGAATGACATTCAGAATCCATCTATCTTAGACAAAGACAGAATAAAAACACCAAACTGTTTTCAAGATTAAGCTGGTGTGAAAAACATTATATATCATAGTACCTTTGAATAACCTCTGAACTTGACCCAGAACACCCCTTCCTGTACTTTATTTTTGATTTTACTGTGGAGAGATTCCATTTTGTGTGGGATCATTCACACAAAGAATGAAACAGCAGTCTGAATATTTTTACTAAAACTATTAGAATTACATGATAGTATAGTTCAGTTGAGAAGTGTTCTGTGAATAATATATCTTCTGATATTAAGAATCTAGTTCACAAGTAGTCTTGTTTATTCTTCCCAAAGCTGCCTGTTGACAACGGAAACCTCTAAGGAAAGTGTATTTGGGTCTACACTGCATGTTCCCTTATGACAGGAATTGATTGTATTTAGGTCATGACTCCTGAGTACAGAAAAAAAAAATTACTAAATAAAATACAGCTCTATTTTAATGGGGAAGCATACTTAACAGTAAGTTTTTATTTTATTGGAGTAAAATTAGGTCTTTTTCTGTAGCATAAGAGTGCTCTACTAAAAAGATTAGTAACTATAGTCAGAAACTGTAAGTCCTGTTTTTAGTGGTAGAAAGAGGAAAATGTTTAGTTACAACTTTCTCAAGCAAATTTCACCATAATCTTCTCTAAGCTAAATTGTCTAGAAAATGTCACCTATATTAGTTACCTTGTAAACAAACATTGAAGAAATACAATTTATGTCATAGTAAGACTTATAATGAATCATGAGTCATAAAAGCTATAATGATTATAAATGTGCTCTGATAAACAATGCTGAACTAGGCTTGTTTTGTGTTTGTTTTATTGTTTCTTTTAGTCTTCCATAAACAAGTTTCAAGATATGGAAGATGCTGAGGTATTATTTACATGAAGATGTTCATAGATCATCACTCTTTACTCAAATATGTATATTTTGTTCATTAATAATGTAATTGCTTTGTGATTTATTTAGAAATCAATCTAATATTCTCAGAATCAAAGAACCATTGAGGTTGGAAGAGACCTCTGGAGGTCACCTTGTCCCACCCTTCTGCTTCAGCAGGGTTGCTAAGAACAGGCTGCCCAGGACTGTGTCCAGATGGCTTTTGAATATCTCTTAGGGTAGACTCCACAACCTCTCTGGGCAACCTGTGCCCGGGCTTAGTCACCACCAC